ACCTCATCATTACTGACATTGTACATTTTCTTTCTTTTCCTTCCACTCTTAGATGTGTGCTTCAGAAAGATGAATCCATCATATTTTAGGTGTAAATAATTAGGTCTAAATACGAAAATAAAGTTGAAAATTCTTTTCTTATTTTGACAAATGCAGTGTCTGGTACATTCAGATGTCTGCTGTATTTTTTGTTGTTGTTGTTGTTGTTTTTGGTATATTCTAGCTTTCTCCCCTATTTTTGTTTGAAAATTTTAACACAGGCTCTCATGCCAGCAAGTATTTTTTCTTCTTCTGAAAGCTGGAAGAAATCATTTCAAGCTTCAAGGCTGTGAACACTGACGACGTCTGACTTTTTCCAAAATGACTCGTGATGCTTTTTGCCAGGCCGATTCTAAGACTGGTTAGTTTGTGATCAAAACTTACAGATGGTACTTACAGAAGACCAGCCAGTAGGGCACTTCTCAAGAATGTCAAGATCAAACACTATAATTAAAGGTTATTTTGGGAAAATCCAGCGTCCCAATCACTAACTCCATGGGGGGAAAAAAAAGAAGAAGAGAAAACGATTTTGTGACAAAGTAATTGCTGACAAAAATATTGTAACCCAATGTGTCACTTGAAAACAATTGAATTTCTGGTCTTTTCATTGTGGACCCTTAGCTTTCAAAGTGATGGTTAGGGTTATAGTATATAATGCTGACTTTTCCTTAAGAGCATAGGTTATTTCACAGCTGTCATCGTCACACAGCCATCTCCCCTGTCACCAGTTTCTGTAGCTCATCCTTGCTGGTTGATATCTTTATGCCCAAACCCTCATAACATTTAATCACCACAAGGTCGAGGTCACATGATGGTAAGCCTGTGATGAAATTTTTACCTCTTAAAAATGTACAAGTGAAAATGTTATGCACTGAGGCAAAAGCCGAAAATAATGAATATCTGAAGTTTAATTTCCATGCATCAGTGCTTGTGGCAGTGAAATAAATACCAGGGTGAAGTAATAGAGTAGTTAAAGGGGTGGGCTAGTGGTTTAAAGATGAGAATTAATATCCATGATTAAAATTGCATGTATCATTGCCAAGGGCTGTGAAAATATGTCAATTGCATGACTATGTCTGTTTCAGTGCCAGAGGAAGAGCGTTTAAAGTTTAATAATTGCTCTGTTTTCTTGTATGAAACAAACAATAAATGAATTCTACAGATATCTGCTTTTGAAAATGATCAACTTTAATTATACATATATTTTTATGTACTAACTGATAGGCAGTTTTTCAGTCATTTCTTTATTTAAAACCTATGCCAACCAACCTAATGTTGCATATCTGCAAGTTCTTTTTTAAGTAATTCTGTAAATTCTCGGCAACGATGCTATGATCCAGAGTATTTGATTAGTCCTTGAATTAATATTTGTAGTTCAAGTTTATACTGCTTGATAATGATGATGAATTTATAATATCCTATTTGTAGGAAAGACGGCAAAGTACATTTTCAGTATTATTTATAGGTTTAGGGTTTTTATGACTAATGACCATATATAACCTTAAATTACAACATGTCAAATGTTCACATGACAAACGAGGTATTGGGGTAAATGAAGAGTATGTGACTCATTTATTCTAAGAATACATCTATTTTTATGGTAACTTCTGTAGAACATAAGTTGAAAAGTATCTCTAATATTCATAATCTCTACATTTTCAGAAGTCCTGCTTTTTGTCAGGGATCTGAAGTGAGAAGTAGACTTCCAAAATAAAGACCAGTTTTATAACCCTGGAAGAACATTTTTTTTAAGTATTTAATGTATATATATTGTTATTTTTCTTAGAATTTTTTTTTACATTGTTAATTTACCACAAAGCAAAACTCTCAAATGCAAAGCTTTTTAAAAAAAATAATGCTTTAAAATAAGTCTAGGGAAGACCTCAGGTAGACTAATTTATTAGCTATCAAAAGCAACTAAATCACCCCCCCCCACACACACACACACAGCCTTTGGCCATATCCTTGTTCAGGGTTATGCTTCTGTATCTTGTCCCCTTGAACGAGATGAGTACTGTACTCTTTGTTTTGCTCAGAATTGAGGAAATGAGTACTTGGTTAGCACTCAACAAATAATAAGTCATAATGACAAGTACTGAATCCAATTTGAAACCGTAGGGGAAATTTAAGTGGTCCCAAATGCCAGTGTTCTCTGAGTTAATTCCATTTGTGGAGGAGCTGCAATTCCAGATGGA